CCTGTATCCCAGACAGTATTATTACCATTCTTAGATATGTCCTGTTCCACCAGTAGGACAGACTTGCTAGAGTTGGTGGCATAGTGATATCCAGTAGAGACAGAGCTATAAAATGTCCTGGGATGTATTCAAAATTGATTTCAGATCTTATGATGTTTCATAGCATCAGGTCAAACGTAGGCAAGGTATCCACCTGCTGATTACCAAATACAGTTCCACCTCCCCTTTACGAACCCCACAGACGCTGTTAGTTGATAAATCTATTCTCCTCCGTGTTAAACACCAATCGGAAGAAGCACTTGTGGTGAAAGGGTACAGAAAGTACTCTGGGTGAGCCATTTAAACATCCATCACCAAGGGTGGCTCATTAGCACTATTCCTTACAAAATTGACTGAGTCCTCAAGTACATAATTGCTAGACTGGGTCTGCGGCAGATGGTGAGGGAACCAACAAGAAGGAAAAACGAACTTGACCTTGGCCTCACTGGCTCACATGTCCATGACTGTTATGGTCAGAGTGAACAATGCACAGTCTTTGTGGAGATGAAGTCCCATCTTCACATTGAGGATCGTGTTGTGTAGCACCACCACTGTGCTCAATGCAATAGATGTTGAATGAATCTAGCAACTCAGAACTGGGCATCCATGAGGTGCTGTGGGCCATTGGCAGTAACAGAATTTAGTTCAGCCAGCAAGTGGCATATTCCCTCCTCTACGATTACCATCAAACTGGGGACCAACCCTGGGTCCAATGAACAGGGCAGGAGGGCATGCAGGGAGCAGTACCAACAATTGAGATTGTTGGATGTCAAAGATCTCAGCTCTAGGACATCTCTGCAGGACTTCCTCAGGTGAGTGTCCTAGGCTCAACCATCTCCATCAATGACCTACCCTCCATCATAAGGTCAGAAGTGTTGGATGTACTTTGTTCATTGCACAATATTCAGCACAATTCCCAACTCCTCAGATATTGAAGGTATCAGTGGTGTCCATGTGCAGCAAGACCTGGATGTCATTCAGACTTGGACTGATAAGTGGCAAGTAACATTCACTGCAAGCAAGTGCTTGGATTGTCCATTTCCAACAAAAGAGAATCTATCGTTGCCCCTTGACACTCAATGGCATCACCATCACTGAATTTCTCACTATCAATACACTGGATTTGCCACGTAAATACTGTAGCTACAAGAATCTGGAAATTCTGCCCCTTCTCACTCCCCAAAATCCTGTCCACCATTCATGAGGTGCAATTCAGGAGTGTGTTGGAACACTCCCCACTTTGCCTGGATGATTGCAGCTCCAATAATACTCAAGGAGCTAAACACCAGTCAGGGAAAAAAGGAGCTTGCCTGAATGTTATCCCATTCGCTACCTTTAACATTCATTCTTTGCATTATCAACACACAGTAGCAGCAAAGTGTACAATCTAAAAGATGCACTGCAGAAATTCACCGAGGGTCCTTAGGCAGCACCTTTTGAACCCAAGATCCATATTGGGACCTCTGCTGTTTGTGATCATATATAAATGACTTGGATGAAAATGTAGATGGGTGGGTTAGTAAGTTTGCAGATGATACAAAGATTGGTGGAGTTGTGGATAACGTAGAAGGTTGTCAAAGGATACAACGGAATATAGATCAGTTGCAGATACAGGCTGAGAAATGGTAGATGGAGTTTAATCCAAGTAAATATGAGGTTCTGCACTTTGGGAGATCAAATGTTAAGGAAAAATATACAGTTAATGGCAGGACCCTGAACAGCATTGATGTAGAGTGGGATCTTCGGGTTCAAGTCCATAGCTCCCTGAAAGTGCCACTCAAGAAGGTAGGGTGGTAAAGAAGGCGTATGGTATGCTTGCTTTATTGGTCAGGAAATCAAGTAAAAGAGTCAGGACGTTATGTTGCAACTTTATAAGATTTTGTTTAGGCCACACTTAGAGTATTGCGTTCAGTTCTGGTCACCGCATTACAGAGAGGATGTGGGGGCTTTGGAGATGGTGCAGAACAGGTTTACCAGGATGCTGCCCTGATTAGAGGGAATGAGCTATAAGGAAAGGCTAGAAACACTTGAGTTGTGGACTGGCAGAGGCTGAGGGCAGAAATCTATAAAATTAAGAGACGCATAGATAGGGTTGATGGTCAGAACCTTTTTCCCAGAGTTGAAATGTCTAAAAACTAGGGGGCATGCATTTAAGGTTAGAGGGGAAAGTTCAAAGGAGATGTGAGGAGCCAACTTTTTATACAGACAGTGTGGTAGGAGTCTGGAATGCTCTGCCCGGGTGGTGGTCGAGGCAGATATGATAGGGGCATTTATGTTGCATTTATATACACACATTAAATGCATGGAATGGAGGGATATGGACTAAGGGCAGGCAGAAGAGATTAGTTTAATTTGGCATCATGTTTGGCACAACATCATGGACTGAAGGGCCAGTTCCTGCGCTGTACAGTTCTATGTTTTATGTTCTATATTACCATCTAAAGGGATAAGGGCAGCAGATACTGGGAACACCACCTCCTGCAATTTTCCTTCCAAGCTGCTCATCATCCTGACTCGGACATATTTGGTGTTGATTCTGTGTTGCTGGGTCAAAATCCCAGAATTCCTTCCCTAAGGGCATTGTGGGTCTACCTACAGCAAACAAATTATTGGGGTTCAAGGATGTGGCTCAGCACCACCTTCCCCAGGTCATTTAGGATGGGAAACAATCGCTGGCCAAACACCAACACCCACATTCTGTGAATAAATAAATAACAAACAAAGGAAAATATTGAAAATTTCAAGTTGTATTTAGGTCTCTTTGACATTTATTGAAAGATAAATGTGTCCACACTGCTCTGCTACCTCATTGTTTCACAGCCATTTTGATCTGTCACTTCCTAATTTCTACAGTTTTCATTGTAGAAAATCTTGCCTTAAAGCTGAAGTTGACTAATACTTTTAGACATCTGCTTTGATTATTGTTTCTTTACATTTCTTCTGCATATTATTGTTTGCTCAATCACTTTCACTTCTGCCCTCCATGTCAGCAGCTGTTGTGGAACTTAAGTAGTGCAGGAATTTCCCCACCTCTCGCTAACAGCTGTTCCACCTACACCCAAAAGCTGCATTTGCCAACCATGGGCTTCTTTTATCAGGGATTGATCGATAATTCTAACCTGTCTCTGTGCTTTTCAAGTAATGCTCTTCTCTCTGGCGCTTCCATCCTCCATCACCAACCCTTCATTAGCTTGATTTCATCCCCATGTATCCTAAAACTGCAAGGTCCATTCACGAATCACCACTTATGCTTGCAGACTTCCTGTCTGGCAACAGCTTGTACTTAAAATTCTCACTCTCAGGTTCAAAATTGGTTCATGATCTCACCGTTTCCCTGTGACCTCCTCCTCTGAGATAAGACCAGAAGCAATCAACGCAAGAGTAAACCACATGGACGTTTGAGCTTGCTCTAGTATTTTGAGACATCATGACTGAATTTCTGCATCAACACTGCTGGCTCACCCCATACCCATTTCCCTTAATTCCCTTAGTGCTCGAAACCCAACCTCACCGAATGGAAGAGCTGAACACGTACAGTACTCTGTGGTTGAGAATTCCTAAGATGCACAAACATCAGACTGAAGATTGCCCTGTCTTAAGTTGTCTACCTCTTTTCCAGAGCTTATGATCACTATAGTCCTCCAACTCTGGACATTTGCAACTCCATCCTTAACTTGCCATTGGCAGACATGTCTTCAATGGTCTTGGTTCCAAACATGGCCATCCATTAATGGATCCTCAAACCTCTTTGTCTATTCTTTCTCCCTTAAGATGCTACTTAAAACATACCTCTCTATCACTGTGACTATGCATTGCTTTGGGCCTTTGTTCCCTACTTGGTGTCATTTTTCTGTCCTATTATTCTTTTGTGACGATACATTAAAGGTGCTATTTCAATGCAAGTTATTGCTGGCAAACACATTCTCAAACTCAGGAAACTATTCAAACGTTGGGCGGAAATTAGTGTCCTCCCCCATGTGATGGTGTTGAGATTTATTTGGGTAAGACTGTGGCTATGGGAACTGCACTGCCTTCCAACCTCCACCCTGATGTCTATGGCAGAAAAAGCCCCAGGATGGCCTCCTTATCCTGCCAATGAGACTCTTAGCTGTGCAATGAATGAATGAATTGATAAACATGCCCTTTGGATCAAACATTGGAAAAGCGGGAATGCCACCAACAAGTTCCTTCTGATGAACCCCATTTGACCAATGACACCCACAGTGAGAGCAGTTCTTGTGAAAGTGTTTGAGGAAAAGACAGGTCCCATTGCCACTAACACTCACCCCTGGCACCGCGGTGTAAACCATTCCTGCTGTTGTGGAGAGAGACTTAAAGCAATATGGCACTTCGCTGAGGTGTGCCTTTTACAGACTGGATGACAGACAAATTCAGCAAATAAGGGAACTACCTCTTGGGATTGTAAATTTGTACTTGATAACTAAAATAACAGTAAAATCGCAACCCATACAAATCCATGTCAATACACAAGAGGGATTGAGCCAACACTCACTACAAAGGCTTCAGACTGATCCTCTGCTGATATTTGCGTGTGCATGTATCAGATGTGGAACAGACATAAGGAATTTCACATTTTTAAAGGGCAGCATCTTTCTTATCGAATTTGACCGACTGTGATCATGAAAACATACAGATAGCTTGAGGCCTGCAGATGATTACATTTCTAACCAGGTAAAAACGACAAGGACATTTGATAAACTGTCAAGTAAGCATTTCTTTTGAACTTTGATATTCTATTCTGTGATAAAATACCACAGCCTCTGTCCTGAGCGAAGTGTGGAATATTAATATGTCAATATGTTAACATATGTTAATCCACCAGTGAACAGAACTCCTTATAATTTACTTCAACATCTCAAACAGGACACACGTTTGGTGAAATATATTTTAATTGACAATTGCACATACAATTAAATCTGATTAAGGTTTCCAACCTCTACAGTAATTAGATGTTTCAAATTATTTTGGTGAAATGTGACTGAATGGCAGGTGAGGGCATGGGTGTGCCCATGGGTGTGCCCCTTGACAAGGTGCCCATAAACAGGTCCAGGCCACAGAGAGAATTGGAAGCAAAAAGTTGCAAAGTGACACAAGCAGGTGGACAGAACTGGGTGGATGGTGTTCAATGTGGGAAAGCATGACGCCATCCCCTTCCCGCTCCATTAAAAACAAATATTTTCAGAAACATTTTCCAAGTGGTAAGAGACACTGTGAAGGAGGAACAGAATGTAGGTGTTAACGTACAAGCCATAAAAAGTGATAAAAACATCCACTGGAATGAACCTCAGGCACAGTGGGCTGAATGGTATCATTCTATGCCATACCTTTTCCATGGTTCTGATCGTGATCTTTGTCTCAAGGGAGCTGGAGAACAAAGACCATAGAACCATAACAAACAGGAACAGGAATAGGCCATTCGACCCGTCCAGCCTGCTCTGCCATTCAGTAGGATCAAAGCTGATCCGACACTTCTCACATCAACTTTCACATCCTTTCCCCATAATCCTTGGTTCCCTTCCAATCTAGAATCCATCTCAGCCTTAAATATACACTCTGCCCCCACAGCTCTCAGTGGTAAGGAGATCCATAGAATCTCAACCCTCTGAGGGAAGAAATTTCTTCTCATCTCAGTCTTAAATTTGGCATCCCTTTATTTTGAGACTATGCCCTCTTGTCCTAGACTCTCCCAAGAGGGGAAACATCTTCTCAGCATTTATCCTGTCAAACCCTTTAAGAATCCCACAGATTTCAATGATATCTTCTAAACTCCAATGAAAGAGTCCAAACCTGCTTAGCCTTTGCTCAGAAGACAATCCCTCCATACCAGGGATCATCCTAGAAAACCTTCTCTGAACTGCTTCCAATGAAATAATACCTTTCCTTACATAAGGGGACCAAAACTACTCTCAGTACTCCAGATGTGGTCTCACCAGCACCTTATACAGTTGCAGTAAGACCTCCCTTACTCTTATACTCCAACTCCCTTGAAATTAAGGGCCCACATTCCATTAGGCTTCCTGATTCCCTGCTGCCTCTGTGTGCTAGCTTTCTATGTTTAAGGAATGGAATGATGCTTCTGTTGTATGCAGCCATAATCTGACTTCACCTGAAATATTACGTCTAGATTTGGATGTCTTATTTCAAGCTGAATATCTTGGCCTTTGAAAGGATTCAATGCGAACCTACTAGAAGAAAGCAGATCCTAGGATAATATTGTGAAGGTAGACTTCATGAACTTGAGGGTGGCACAGTGGTTAGTGCTACTGCCTCACAGTGCTAGGGACCTGGGTTCAATTCCACCCTTGGGTGACTGTCTGTGTGGAGTTTGCACATTCTCCCTGTGTCTGTGTGGGTTTGCTCTGGTTTCCTCCCACAGTCCAAAGATATGCAGGCTAGGTGGATTGACCATGCTAAATTGCCCATAGTGTTCAGGGATGTGTGGGTTATAGGGGGATTGGTCTGGGTGGGATGTCTGAGGGTTGGTGTGGACTGGTTGGGCCAAAGGGCCTGTTCCCACACTGTAGGGATTCTATGCTGATGACTAGTACTCTCCTACATTTTGACAGTTTAGGGATAATCTAATTAAGGCAGCCTAAAGTTCCACAAAAATCGAAAGGATCCACAGACACTGGGCTCCCCACTTGCTCTAGTGCCTTCTGCCCCCATTGTACAAGATGCCTCGTCTCACTCTTTGTCTCCTGGGGGCTGGTAAAATTCAGCCCTGTGTTTCAGTTGTACTAGGCTTTAATAAGTTGCCTGTACTTCTTTCTGCCTGACCTATTGGGCTGTATCAGATGTTTCTGAAGCTGTTTGTCATGTTTCTGAACTTGCCAGCTGTGAAATCTGTACGTCTCTGCTGTTTTAGCAATAGCTGCTGGAAAAGCTGGTCTTGGTTATGAGATAACAAGGTGTAGAGCTGGATGAACACAGCAGGCCAAGCAGCATCAGAGGAGCAGGAAGGCTGACATTTCGGGCCTAGACCCTTACTTCAGCTTAGAGCGAACGACAGCGCCACCATCTGGTCAACCCTCAGTTCCTGAAGCAGCTTCTTCATCATAATCTCATGGGATCAGTTTCTCTCCTTTGTATCTGTCAGATGGATCAGTTAGTAAACCCAAAGCAGGCACCAGAATTACTGCTGGGAGGAGCTGTTTTTACAATGTGGCTTTGAATGGCAGGAGTATAACTCCTAATTTCAAAAGGACAGAAGAAGGCATGAAGGGATAATCATGTAACAAATAAATCACCCAGAACGACCTTGAGATGGACAATGTGGATAGAGTCAAGGGAAGGTTTAACTCACTCAGAGATAGTAAGAACTGCTGATGCTGGAGTCAGAGATAACAGTGTGGAGCTGGAGGAACCCAGCAGGCCAGGCAGCATC